TTATTTCATAATTAAAATTTAAAAGTAACCTGATTTTTGAAATTTAGAACATGTTTTTGGCATTTTTGAAATGTGTAAAAGTAAACACTTTATTTATGTATTCTTCCCTTAAATAATTTCCCAACACAAAGTAGATCGATGGGCTGTAGGGAATCTAATCGGAAGTACCATATCGTCGACGGAAACTCTAATATCTCGGGATTTGGTCTGTGTAATTTTTATCCACAACACGTATGATATACAAAAGCTTGCTTTATTCTTATAAAACAGTGTGTGAAACTTTCTGTAGGACGGTTGTATCGTTTGTCCGACAACTGATAGCACATTTGACCAGCGAACAGGAGCCATCAAAGAGTGGTATCCAAAAAATCCTGTGCTGAGAGTCCTGACTCCCCCTTTTAAGAAATTTATTCGTCTACCCTGTGAAAACTGATGGAGAAAACATTTATATAAGCGTAACTGGAGGTGCTCAATCCGATGCAACTGCAGAGATTGTTTTCAGCGGAAAGGCTCAACCCGGTTTAACTACAACAGATGTCAATGTTGATGAGGTAATTAGTTGCTCAATCAGCAGTTCGTCTAAGCTTAAAAGTAATTTTTAATTTACTTTTTCTTCCAAACATATTTGAAAGTTAATATTGTTTGGTCTCGTCAAATGAAACCAAGGGCTCCTGCAGAGCTATTACTAAGTAATATGCTGCTTCGACTTTGACCTCAGGTTCGAATGGTGGTCGATGAGGATCTTGAAGGGTTCGGTTTCACGGGGAAGAATGGATTGATAAATGGAAAGGTAGCAGTAATTGGCTTCTTATTGCTGTTGGATTTTGAACTATTGACCCGTAAAGGCCTCCTCTATGGAACTGGTTTCTTGGACTTCATTTATTCCGTTTCTGATGCTTTCAAGTAATTTTTTACTAAGTGTATGCAGCACTTGGCTTGATTAAAAAGAACAGTGAACAAGTTTTTTAACTCTTTTTTCTTTTTAAATACTATTCAGTACACCTTACGGAACATGCCATGAATGTGTAATGAAAGAACGAGGCTTGATTGATCCTTGTATAAGATTTGTTGTTGTGATATATCCGAAGCAAATATATGCCTTTTTATTTCCTATAAGTTACTTGTAAGCACAGACTGTGTTACTTTTTTTCAAATATTGTTGAGATTTTGGTTGTATTTACTATTTTTGTCCGTCTTTTTTTTCTCATGAGGAGGAGTACTTAAAAGAATTTTTCCGTCTAGGTGCTGATTGGGTCAACTTGCCCAAACATTTGTCCCTTAGGATGTCTGGACACGAGTAAGGAGCTCACTCATGTAATATTACGAAATTTTTGAACTCAATCTACAACAATAAAACTTGGTGAAGGTAAATGAAATAATCCGGTTAAGTTATATTATATCCGTTTATTTAATATCGCGTGTCAAACATAATTATTCTTTATTTTTAAGAAATAAAAAATTTGACAATCTAATCCGTATTTTGTCAAACTCGATCTCCATTGTTCCATTTGACTATGGTCTATTAGGTAAATTGTTGTCAAACGACCTCCTTGGACGATAATGAATAGAATTGTTTTTTAGTTCTGTCGGCATAGACCAAATGACTGAAAGTATATCGACACCACAATTTGGTAAACCAACACTATACCCTAGTTGGGCCATTGGAAGCAGCCTAATCTTAATTAGTGCTGCTCATGGCCCAACCCAAACTTGGCGGGCTCT